TATATATATATATATAAATTAAATTTCCAGAATCTTGGCTTAAATTCTCAACCATTCCTGGATTCCCCGCCACTCCTGGAATGTAATAATCCGGTGTCGACTGAATAATATTATTGTAAGCTGACAACATCTCCTGGAGATGCCACCGGGCCGGTCCTGGAATCGCTCGAGGTCCACTAAATCCTTGTGATCCAATTTGTCCCCGATCTTACGTTTCCGATCTTACGTCTATGCCCTTAATAGTTTCACGAAAAACAACACAAACTAATTTCACTTCTTATCGACATACCACACTCGGCGGAAAGCCCATATCTCCTTTACTTCCCTTATGTCCAACAATAATACCTTGAATTACAAATATTCATTAATATGTTTGTAATATTCTCTAATGAATATTTAATTAAAAGAAATGTAAGTGGTGATTGTTATATATTACAATTTCTTTAAGTTATCATTATTTTATGCAATAAATATGTATTTTCAAAACTTATAATAACTTTTATTTCCGTTTTTATACTTACAGACTTTATATACGCGTTCTTCATTTGAGTAAAAAAAAACCTAGAACCGAAAATCGCCAAACGTAGTTTTTCGCTATTTTTGTTTCTACCAATTTATAAAACCGCTCCCCAGAAAATTTGAGCCGGCCCTGTAGTAACTATCTTTGAAAGCTTGAAATATGTTATAGTATAGTTCAATTTTTCAAAAATAACAGTAGGAGGACCTTGCTATTTTATATAGGATATTTTGAAATCTTCAAAATTATCAAATTATATTGCAGCACCATCTCATGGCTAAACATAATTAAGCATTAGAAAAATATTTGTTATAATAATCATATTTATTTATTTGTGAATTCAATTTTTTATCATTTTAGTGACGATTCTGTGCAATCCAGTCCAAGAAGGAGAAGACCCTGGTGAAGACGTCAGGGAATCCACGTGCGCATGGGGTTCCCCAAGAAACGATACCGATTTGGTTTCCGTTAAAGTCAACTAAAGGACCGCCGGAATCACCGTGACAGGCGCCTTCACCGGACTTGGTCAGGGTGCAGACTTCGGATTCAATAACGTCCATGGCGGATTGCAATTTCTGGCAAGTTTCGACGGTCAAAGTCCTGAGTTGAATGTATTGGAGTTCATCGGGAATGTCTCCTGGGTAGTTGGTCCTACCCCATCCACTGAGGATGACATCAGCATCACCGCCGATGTTGGAGGTTGGCAACTTAACGGCTTGGACCTTAGTGTTGAAACTTATTGGGGTGTCCAATTTCAAGATGGAAACGTCGTTTTGGATCCTGTAGGAATCGTATTGCTCGTGGACAACAAAGCTCTTGACTTGGTGAGATACACCGCCTTCAGAAAGGTAGTGGCTACCGACGACAACAGTCATCATGGACGGCATACGTCTATTAAAACACTTATGTAATTTTTATTCAAATATATGACGTATGCATTATATTACCCATCGACGCAATGAGCAGCGCAAAGGATGGTGGTCTCATCCAAGATGGAACCTCCGCAGGTGTGGGAACCGCCATATCTCAAAGAGACTTGGTATGGGAATTGGGCTTCTCCTGCTTCATGTCCACCCACGATACGCCATCCCAGATCACGAGGAGCAGCTATTACCAAAACACAAATATGAAGTAAGTAAATAAAATTTATAGTAGACATAAAAAACAAATACTAAGCTCTTTGACTATTAATAACTTACCTAAGGCTCCTACGAGTCCGCACAGTACGATGAATGCAACCTTAGTCATTGTTTGATTTGGTTTAATTTATTTCGCATTTTTATTTGCTTTTATACCAAAATATATCAATAATCGGACATTGATAAAAATGAGTAGCAAAATTAATAATCCTATTGCGTATAGCTTCTGATGCAAAGGATCAAATTGCAGCTTTCCTTTTCTTATTTCATTCTAAATATAAAATATATATCAAATTTTGATTAAAGATATAATTTTAAAAATAATCATTTTTTATCACAAAACCTCTCAAAAATAAACATTTTTATATATTTTTGAGTGCACAATAATCAATAAAAATATTATGTTGTTCAATATTCTTCATAATAAAGAAATAATTTAGGTTGAAACAAATAAGTCTAAAAAAAATAATAATTATTATTATTAATATAATAGTTAATTAAAAGGAATTAATGACAAAGTGAAATAATTCGCAACGAAAAGAAATTCTAGAAATTGAATTTCTGATATAAAGATAACAGTTTTGTTAAAACAGTATAAAAAATTTGAACTTTTTTTTTGTCAGTTTTTATTTACAATCTATTCTACTGAACATTTATCAAATCTGTTCGCTGTTTACATTAGGAAGTCCAGTGGCACCATTCCATAACGTTTGTATATAATATTTAATTATTTATTCTTCACTTAAACTTAAATTGGAGATCCAAGGGCTTGAAGCGCTTTAATCTTCTTGTCACGACATTGTCGAGAAGGTTGACCGCCAACGGGTTCGTATGCGAATCAAGCCTGTTCGTGTATTTTTTTGAGAAATCTTTGGCAACCTCTTCCACTATTTTTATTCCAAAGTCCTGGTGCAGTTTTTTATTGGTGATGTACCATGGAGCTCCCGCGAGCCTTCTAATACTTTTGGATTGGAATACTTGGATTTTTTTAATATTAATAGAGCATGCTGTTCCCATTATTTGGATACCGTAAGTCCAGACTGGTTTTAATATGACTTTGTACACTAGCAACTTGTTTTTCAAAGTCAACTGAGAATTTGCGCGCAGCAGCCAATACATTTCTAAATTTCATTTCTAGTTGTTCACGTTTTGGCTGAATATGGTCCTTCCAAGTCAATCTCGTGTCCATGTACATTCCCAAGTATCTCACCCTTGTAGATGCTGGAACTATTTTGTTGTTAAGTTTGACTGGAGGACATGTGTCTCGTTTTAAGGTGAAAGTAACATGCACCGATTTTGATTGGTTTATACCAATTCGCCACTTTCTGAACCATATCTCGAGCTCGTCTTGAAGATGTTGAGATGTAATTCTGGAACTTTCGTCTGATGCCATGATTGCTGTGCAATCTGCAAATGTTGCCATATTTGTTTTCTCTGTTGTTGGTATATCTGCAGTGTATAAGAGAAATAAATTGGCCCCAAGACACTACCTTGTGGAACGCTCGATTCGGCTCAGCTCAGTTTGTGCTTCTTCCAATTTGATAAAAAACTTTCGATCATCAATATAGGATTTCAACACTCAAATTTGAACATAAAAGATGTATTCTTAGTGTGTTTATATGTATATTTATAATTTGAATCGTGTAAATAATAGGAATATTAAAAAACTATTTTTTATAACTTTTATTTATTCACAAGCTGCCCTTTAGAATCAAAGTTTCTTGTGCATTAGAATTAATATTTTTATTTAAGTTACTTAGTATCAAAATTGACTATTATTAACTATGTTAATTTCTATTACGTTAACCCTACATGCAAGGGATACCGTAGTATTCTTTAAAGTGTCCATGCTCTCATGCCTCCAAATATGCATGTAATTCAAACTCCACGTAATTTTAGTTTATAGTGTTCATAGACTTCAGATTGAATCGATTCCAAGCAACTCGGCATCTAAGAATTCTTTAATTCGTGGAAATGTATATATTATTCAATATATATATATATATATATTTATCAAACAACAAAGACTTTTCATGATGTCATTCTTCATTAGGTTTTTTATTTAGTTTTGCAGTACATCACCCAGAAAATAGAAAAGAAATGTATTTTGAAAAACTTCAAATTATCATGAATAAGACAATCATTATGAGGATAAACAAATTATAATTTGGGTCTTCAATTAACACTATTCCCCATCATTAGCCAAAACCCGGCATTCGTCTGGTTAACCAAAATTGGTGATATATGTTAAGAGTTTTCGATTCTTAACTTCATTTCAACTCCATTTTATTCTACGTGATATTTAATTTCTTCCAATAAAAATTTGCAACTTTTAAAATTAAATAATCGATGCAAAAGAATCAGATTAGGCTTCCTTGTGATTTATGGAAGCTTATTTCTAAAGATCATTTCACTGATAAATCAATAATATTAATAGAACAAAGGTGAATTATATTTTATTGTTGGAACTCAACGGTTCAAAGTTTTTATTAATAAAAGTATATTTTTCAATATTATTTTTATTATTTAATCAATCGATGAAATGCGGGCATAAACTAGAATTCAATGTAATTTAGTGACGGTTCTGTGCGATCCAGTCCAAGAAGGAGAAGACCCTGGTGAAGACATCTGGGAATCCACGCGCGCATGGGGTTCCCCAGGAGACGATACCGATTTGGCTGCCGTTGGAGTCGACCAATGGACCACCGGAGTCACCGTGGCAAGCGCCTTCTCCGGACTTGGTCAGGGTGCAGACTTCGGATTCGATAACATCCATGGCGGATTGCAATTTCTGGCAGGTTTCGACGGTCAAAGTCTTAAGGTGGATGAACTGGAGAGCATCCGGAATGTTTCCGGGGTAGCTGGTTCTTCCCCATCCGCTGAGGGTAACATCAGAATCTCCGGCGATATTGGTAGTTGGCAATTTAACGGGTTGGACCTTGGGGCCGAAGGTGATTGGGCTTTCCAATTTCAAGATGGAAACGTCATTTTGGATCCTGTATGAGTCGTATTTCTCGTGAACGACGAAGCTCTTGACCTGGTAAGTGTCTCCGCCTTGGGAGAGGGCGTTGGATCCAACAACAACGGTCATCATGGATGGCGTACGTCTATGCAAATAAACTGTTAATGCTTATGCTTATTATAATTGTCTTTATAATATTACCCATCGACGCAGTGAGCGGCGCAAAGGATGGTGTTATCGTCCAAGATAGAACCACCGCAGGAATGGGAACCACCATACCTCAAAGAGATTTGGTATGGGAATTGACCATCAGCAGCGTTTTCGCCACCAACGATACGCCATCCCAATTCGCTTGGGGCAGCTGCAAAAAGTAACAACATCTTTTAATAATCTCTATATTCTTATTATTTAACATATTTATTGGCCACACTTCAGCCGCTATATTTTTAATATACTTTTTTTATGGTCACTTACCAAAAGCACCGACGAGTCCGCAGAGGACGAGTAATGCAACCTTAACCATGTTTAAGCTTGTTATGAATCTAACTGTTTTGGGAATCCGTATTTATAGTCGCTATTTACGGGAAATGATAAAAATTTTCTTCTTTTATCTCAGATAATTTTTGATTAACTTGATTACACTATTTATTATCACTAAAATCTTCATTGTATGGAAATTTATTTTTCTATACTTAGATCAATAATTACCATATGTCTTAAACATAATGTAATCTTTACACTTTGCTAACAATCCTAAATATGGTATTGTAAACCAGAGGCGCATTTAGGCATTTTGGTATGTAATCCAAGACCCCATTCAATCAAAACATCAAAATAAACACAATTAACATAAACTTTGGCTGTACAGTGCCCCCAAACAATATTATCCCAGCGCCCCCAAATAATAAATAAATACTAAATATTATTGTTATAACAATTCTTCATGTACAAAGCAAATAATATATTTAAAATATAAATCTTGCATGTTATAAGTTTTGTATAAATATTAATAATAATTAATGCCTTTAAATTTAAACTGGATCAGCAGACAGAATGAAGATTAAAATAAAGCCAAGGGGATTAAAGTGATATTTATAAATCAGTGGAAATGTAATGTTTCGAAAAAATACAGATATGTTGTTTATCTAAATCTAAACTGAATTAAAATTAATCTTAATAATAATAATTATTATTTAATTATATCCTTTCAGGGTTAACTATGTGAATCGGAATTGATCTTAGTTATATTTTTTTTTCTGATTGAATATTAAAAATCTTGAAACTTTTTTAAAATATGCTACAAATTTCTAATTTCATTAATTTATTTTAAAACAATAGTAATATTATTTATTATATTTACAATGCAAAAAAATATATCCCGCGTTAATCAAGAATCATTTATTCCTGAAGATATTGCTTAACTTTCGTAAGTTGTTATTTCGTCAAGTGCCTGATAGGTGATATCCAGCGTCTAAAACTAATTGAATTCAAAATAAAATATTTGCTAATTTTTAAAAAAACTCTCTTTGTGATATCTTTATGAAGATTTTTACTGTAAGTAAGTACTTCATTTTTTATAAAGTGAGATTAAAATCTTGTGTTTGTGACCAAAACAAAATTATTTATATACAATTTTAGATTAACAAAAATAAACAGGCTCCTTCGAATTTTGTAATTGTGAAATAGATTCACTGTTAATCCCCATAGATTTATGGCACATTTGTCTTGCTTAATCGTTAATTCACATCATCGATTGCGCGTTGATGCAATTACAAAACGTTCTCTGGATTATAAATAATGTAGGTCATTTATTTCAAAACTCACAAGAATAATCATGATAATATTAATAAGTATATTAAATATTTCTTATTTACCAAACAAATTATCTTTGATCAATTATATTAACAATAAACAAGTACATTTTGTATATGTTTATTATTGTATATCTCAGTTTTTATAATATATAAATTATTTATCATTATAAAGTTATCAAGTAGAACAGCTTAAAAATGCAACGACTAAAACATTTCAAACCAGAACTTCAATCTTAAAAAATGGATTCGGTGATATGGATTAGATTAGAAATGATATATGACGATATTAAAAAATACTATTTTTAGCATCATTGTTACTAATTAATTTAAAAATAACATTTCGTTAATTCTGATAATAATCGATAAGACGGTGTAAATAGTTTAAATTTCTATATAAATTTCTTAATTAAAATGTCGGTTAGCGTGTAACAATTTATAAACGCGTTTCAGAAGTGGATAACTATGTTTTAGCCGGTTTATTAATTTGAAGTGGATACTACTCATTCATTCAAGTGGCTTTGGAATACAAATAATATTTTTTTTATAAATAACAAATAGACACACGTTCCACGAACACATAGATATAAGTCTCAGATAACGGTAGCAATAAAAATTACAATACACGCGGTAGGAAATATTATTGATTAGAAAAATAACAACAATACGCTGTAAATAGAATGTTTATCATATTTGTTAATCACTTATTCTGAATAAAATGTTCACATCTTAACCAGAAAAAAGAAAATGTTTGCACTTAGTGGCATAACAAGTTGTAGATGGTTCCATGTGTAACAAATCTAATGTGCACTTTAATTGAATTCGTGGTAAATTTGACGTTGGGTCACAGATTTTTTTTCTTAATTTTCAAGTGTCAAAATAAGATTTTATTTATATCATAATAGCTGTTGTATCACCAAGACCGTGGGGTGTGAACAAATCTTGTGATTAAGAAAATAATAAAGATGTACCTTGTATAATTGAATCATGGTTGATTATTATCATGCCTTTGGCTAGAAATACTTTGTAAGATAGAACTTTTAATCATATAAATTACATAATAATATATTGAATGCAACAATAATCAACTGGTCATTAAAGTCATTGTTTATGAGCTTAATACAGGATAATTATAAACTTATTTTAAAACTAATTAGAGTTATTGGTGACCCAGTCTAAGTAGAAGTAAACATTAGTATAGAAATCATGTAAACCGGAACCGCAATAGTATGTAGATTTTGAAGCAATCCCGATTAAGGTTCCATCCATGACCAACGCTCCACCAATATCTCCTTCGCAGATACCCTGTCCAGCATCTGGATGCGAACATATCTGACTGTCGTAAACTATAACCGGAGCATTGGCGATTCTGCATCGTTCCAATCCCAAAATCCTTTGATCTACCCACATGAGGTACTTTGAAGGAACATTCGGATACGAAACTGTCCCGAATCCAGAAACCGTCGCAATTCCTTTGTCATCGAATAACTTCGTAGGTAATCTAATAGGCTGAACAAATTTATTAAACCTTATTGGAGTTTTCACTTCAACAATGGCGATATCATTTAAAAGAGAAGCTTGTGTCCAATTCTCGTGGTTCAAATATTTGACGATATTGTAATGATCTCCACCGTTTACTTGATGAATGGTTCCCACAACAGCTGTAATCAGTTCGATGGAACCCCTAAACAAAACAAAAATAAATATCTCTCATATTACTATTTAAAAAAAATAGGACCTTGATTTGCAGTAGGCTGAAGTCAGAATAAATTTCTCGCTTATGATAGAGCCAGAACAGAAATGGAAATTGTTCAAACGCAACGAAGCGACGTGCGGAAATTGCCCAAGCTCCGCGGTTTTCCCACCAAAAATGCCAAAGATTGGCGTAACTATTGGCAAATTGGATTAATCGAGATTACTATAAAATTGAAAAACGACTTACTTGCAGTGCAGAAGAGTAAGATTTGTAATTGAGTCAACATGGTTCTGATTTGATTGATACATTTCGCAAGCGGCTTTTATATATGGTCGAGAAAGGAAACTAATGACTAATTTGTTTATTTAATCACTTTGAATAAGCCGTATTTTATTTGTTAATTGTAGACAGAGGCTAGACTAGAATATACGGTATAATTAATTAATTAATTATCAGATAAAGTGCGTGTTTATTTATCCCAATCAATGAATAAAGCCGATATGTATTACAGTATTACGATATTAAGTGTAAATAAGAAACAATAGAAAAAAATATATATTTTTTAAAGTAAAGAAGTATTTTTTAGTAAAGAAGAACAAATGATATTTCTATACACAAACTTTACTATTCCTTTATTGACACTGCATTTATACTGTATAGCAGCGGTTCTCAACCTATGGGTCAGACAGACAGACCAACTCCATTTGTATCTTAACTGTATATGATATTGTAATGAAGAATGCAGACAATTTGAATTCATGTATGGTCGTGATTTCTCATACGATTTCTTTAGTTTTACGACTTTGGAGAACTCATATTTAATGAAGATTAATATCAAGATTGTTGAGCGGCCTCAGCATATGTTGATAAAGTTTATTGTAGGTATACATAGGGAGGATATCAAGTCTGCAATTGAGACATATCAGTACAAGTCTAAAAAATATTTCAGTCATGCTAGTCCAACATTAGTCTCTGCAGGTACTCCTAAGCAAATATGACTAGATTGGTTCAATATAAAATTGGAATATGACTTGGATTACTAAATTTGACTTCCCAGTCTATACTTTACATGCAACAATCCAGAAAATACAATTTATCCTTGAATCCGGGACATCTATTAAAAAATCGGGACAATGTGCTATGATTTCAAAGATAAGACCTATGGGATTGGGCTGCCTTGAAGGAAACAATCGCTCTTCTTCCACATGCAATAATGTTGAATAGATATCATATCTATTCAATATTTTGTTTAAATCAGGACAATAGTTTCTCAGGATCACATGTTTCTCTAAATGCTGTATTATACATTTCAGAATATCAGGATCAATTTTACCAGCGAACATGAAAAAGAAGCTGAGTATGACTACTTCCCATTTCTTCACATATTAGCGACAAAAGTCGTGTATTCAAAGGACTGCTTTCAATGTTGTTAATAATTTTCACGCTTTCTAGAACTTTTTGTAGATCACCGGGCATCTTACGTGTTGCCAAAGCCTCTCTGTGAATGCAATAATGTGTGGATATGACATTTGGAGCAATATTCTAAGTTCTTGCAACAATATCTTCTCCTGTTGTATGTTATAACGGCTGGCAAAATAAAAAGTCGTCATAAATTTCTTGACCTTTTTCGTATCAAGCAATCGCCATAAGATTTGCAAAATTCGCAATGTCAATGGACTCATCAATATTTTCGATTTGGAGCATATATACAAAACCGTACCGTGTGCCCCCATCAAACTTTTCCATACACCCGGGGCCCATACGCGCACCACACTTTGGGAAATATTGATGTATTTTAATCAATCATATACTTTCATATATTTATACTCAGTGATGGCTTGATTGTAGTGGAAGACCTCATCTAAATGTATATAAATGAGTATTTAAGGAATTCAAAAGGTAAAGTTGGAGTTTTTACGATAATAAACACAATAAGACTATTAACAACTTCTTGCACTATAATCCAGTGGGTTCTTGGTTTGTTTCTAGAGTTTCATGAGTCTAACTACATAAACATATTTTTTTATAGTAGAGAATTAATATAGTGAGAGTACAATATTTGGGTGAGTGTAGGTATTTGTAGTCATTATCGAACACTTTTTAGTCTGTAGCTTCCACATTTATTGAAAATAAAAAAATAAATAAATACTTAGGTACGATTTATTGAAAATTAATAAAGATAAATCATGGACATTTTCAAATTATATTTAACATTTAATATAATGTTAAGCTATGGAAATGTAATATTGCACAGATCGCTTATAATAATAAATAAGTCTAAAACAACAAATCAATAAGTAAAAACAGTGTATATAATATGGACAGATGATCATAAAATTTAAACAATAAAATTATTTACAGTCATGCGACTCTCGTAAAGTACAATAAAATTAGTTAAGAACGAAACAATACTATATTATGTATAGTAGATATACTGGAAGCTTGGCGGGTGAAACGTAAACTACATTCGATATCTAACAAATTGACTAGTCGGACAGCTAAAACTAATAATAATCATCGAGTTTAAATCACACTAATACTGATTATACAATCTACAATATTCATTTTAACAGCAATACACAATGGACAGGAAAACTATTTTGCTACCAACATTCACTAAAAAACATTAAAATAAACCTCCATTTCATGGTATACTTCGAAGCCGTAACAAAAAAATCTTTAAAACAGAACTCGGTTTAACTTACTCTTTTTTCTTTGTTAATAATCTCAGAGGCGATATCAATCTTACAAAATAGATGCTTCATTTAATTTCTCGTGTATATATAGTTTAATAGAATATAATAGATTTTGACTTATCAAATGTACGTGTAAATTCAGTGCGCTCAGTGATAAGCAATCGAAAAAAATGGAATTATCAATTATATCACAACTGAATACCTTGGCACGCCGAATACAAGAAATGGAAATTGAAAATATATCATATATCACAATTATGATTATTTTTTTGACACGGGACGTAGTACTCTATAATTATTCTAAAATCGTTTACAATAAAATTACTCCGTGATCTCGCTCCAAGCGCCTTTTAGCCTTCAATGGAACGACACCCATGGGATCTGCAGGAGTGGGTAATCCAGCATTACTACTAGCTGCCTGAAGATAGTATACTTCGGTTTTACCACTGTGATGCCCATAAATTATGGAATCATCGTCTCTGAAATAAGAACATCCACATTATCAAAAACATCTAAATAATATTTGAACACTCAAACCGAATCTTCTGTAAGGATATAAATCACTGTCAACTCCAACGTGAAAAATATTTCGTTTCGTCTTTTTGTTCATTAAAAATAGCACATGCAGTACGAATGATAAGAAATATAAATCGTAGATAATGATTACCGACCATAACGCTATCAGAGTCCATCTATTTAATGAGCCTATATAAAATATATTGAAATTCGTAGCTTCAGAGTATGATTTTAGTACAAAAAGCAGCACGATCCATACAATATTTGATACAATTGATCCTACTATAATTCCAACTAATGGTACTATTAAGCAACGTAGAAGAAAATGTACTCCTATTATAAAAGTCGGATAAGGAATAAGAAACACGGCTAAGAATCCCATATACATGTACATCGCATCACTGCTTCGTGAGAGCAATAGAATCACTGACCAACTCAAATTTATAGCGTTTATTAACTCGAAAATGGTGGCTAACGTGTACGCTATCGATTTTGTCGATTTACAACAGAAGAATTTTGGCATATCTAAAGTTGGATCTGTCAAAATGATTTTACTTTATCGTATCATTAAAACATATACAGTGGAACCTCTCGAAATTTTGGAACGGATTAAACTCGTTAAGTTTAATCCGTTCCAAAATTTCCGGATTTTTATTCTTGTAGTGAATACTCGTATAGTGAAACATATTCAAAAATACACATAATATGTGTACACAAGTTTTAAAAATGATGTAGCAGGCGCGCAATCAGGGACTTCTCTTCCCATCGTCACTCGTTATGCGAAACGTCGCTCGTTAAGCGAGTCATTTCTTCTTACAATTCATTTTGCTCGTTAAGCGAAATGCTCGTTATGCGAGGTTCCACTGTATAATAATAATTTCAAACTACAAACAATTATAGACAAACACCAAAAAAGTGCAATTGTTAGAAAATATTATAATTATCTAATATATTTATATTATAACCAATAAATAGTAATAATTGTAAGTTTAAATATATATAATCAAAATTCGTTCTTAACACTATAGAAAAAAAAACTGTTTACCTTAATAAAATTTCTGTTAAATTTTTGGAGTTCGCGAAATCTCGATGCAGATGAGTGAGTGCTCCTAATTCAGTGGCGCCCCAAGGACCACCCCTCTGCACGGTATCCCAGTGTTGCTCCATCGTCAAGTAACTGTATGGTTCGCCGTTTTGGCCGTTGTTATTGCTGGGACACATTTCCAGACACTGCCTTAGTTGTTTCTCAAGCTTACCCAAATACTCCACACACATCTCCCACTAAAATCAATGTTCAAATACCCTTCCAAATGACCATATTTAATACCTTACCAATTTCTTGATCATTTCAGGATTTTCGCATCCATCCTCCTCTAGCAACAAACCAACAACCATATCTTGCTGTCCGCACACAAACAACACACCTTTCTTCAACTTTTCGTGAATTCGCGTTCTGAACTTGCTCTCGCCTTTATTAGACTTTCCACTTTTAGGATTCACAAATGTATAGTTTGGATGGGTGGGCGTGAAACGGTAATCCTTGTACTCACTGGGTGTTGTCTCTCGACTGCAAAATCCACTCGACTTTTCCTCCATCGCCAAAAGAGATAGTTTAGACATTAGCGGTGTTAATTGAACACCTCCGCAATGCTTAACACGCGTTACTGGAGAAAATACGTTATCATTGGAATCTAAAGATAGTGATTTCAGAGGCAACGAAAGTGATTTTCGAGCCTCTTGCGGTTTCGCTTCAGCCACCTTAGTTGCCAAAGGAACCATTTCGAATTCATTCTTTTTAGGCGCAATGATGTCAAAATCTTCAATCGATTTCCAATCGTCCGCTTTACAATCATCTTGCTGTTTGCTGGCTTCCGTATTTAACATATCAACGTGCTTATTTAAATACTGCTCGTAAAATGATTCCGATACCAAAGAGCCATCAGATTTGAATACTGGGAATGTAGGATCGGCGATGGTCTTGTAAACTTTCGGCTTCTTCTCGGGGGTTTGTGGCGGTTTCTCGCATACATTCATCAAACTGCTGCTAGGTTTGATTTGATTCACAGTAAAATATGGGGTTTTATTAGTCAGCTTAGTACCAATCGATTTTTCCGTTGTTTCGCTAACAGCAGACAACACGGAATTTAAACTGTCAGTCTTTTGATCGCTCTCGAATCCTGAATTCTCCCCATTCTCTGGGTTCACGCAAATAGACATGACGTTCTGATGTACAACCTTGTTCAAATCAGTCATTGGAGTTGAACAAATGCTCGTTTTACCGTGAAACGGTGTCGTCGTAGAAGCTTCCATTTTCGGCTTCTCCTCGATCTTCGCATCCGTTGTTTTGTTGCGTAAATTCAAAAACTTAGGTCGGCTTGGAGGAGCTGAATTTATAATATTATTTTCAAAATTTATCGGCGAATTTGCATCTGGATCTTCTTCAGGTACCGTAGTAAATATCAAAGATTGATCCCGTTTCATTGCTGATAGAACTGGTTCCTTCATAGGCTGTGTCTACAAAGGAAAATTTAATTTAATATGATTTTAATACGAAATATTTTTTTAAGTCACAATCAAGTACCTTTTTTGTATAAGTTTTCTTATTTAAATACTGATGCACTGTGCGACATCTGGTCGCCTCCTCCAATAAGTCTTGGTAATCTGCCCCTTCAATGTAGACCTGTAACAGTTGTACTCCTAATGGTAATTGGTAATCAACCTCAAAAATTTCTGCTGGTGATTTAATACGATATGGATCAGTTAATACTAGACGTTTGGTCAAATTTTGACTCAATTGGGTCGCCACAACCCTAAAATGTGAAGCAATTGATTAAACAAGAGAATTACAACTTTTTCTTAAATTTACTTATTATGGTAAAGCATTGTACCACCTAAAACAAAATCCACTTCTTGACAGCACTGCAAAATCTGTATTGCTTCCAAGAAAACATTACTAGCACTCTAAAAATAAGAATGTTATTAATAAAAATTGAAGAATTATGATTCTTACCTTTGGTAAATTTATTTTTGGTATGTTTGAAAACAAATTGCTGCTATAAGTCAATATTTTTAAGTATGTCTCAAACATATGATACAGTTTGGCTGATAAAGTCTCTGTGTTCTTATATAATTCTCCCATAACTTCCAAATCATTATGAAAGAATGTGATTAAAGAAGACAATGTGTCAGCTCTATATTCTAGTACCCAGTCTGCTATGTTACGATCAGTCCCAACAGCCTGAAAATTATTATAATTAAATGAAAATAATATCCAAAATAATATTTGTTACACATACCAAAATATATTTTCCATATTCCCTGATGGCAAACTTTCCACTTTGCAATGATATGATTTTTGGACATGTAAATACAGATTTCAAGAAGTGTGATACACCCATAATTTGGCCACAAAGTGCAGTGCGCTGTTGATCTGACACCCAGCCAGGATGAAAGTAGAGGATTGCTGATGCTGGATCATCTTCTTCACTCTTAACTAGTTGTGTATCATATACAAAAGTTATCATCATTTCTCTGGAAGATATGTTACAATTAATTAGTAAGGTAATTAATTAAAGCACATAATTTACTTACTTAGCCATTGTAATTTTTTATTTAAATGCACTATTTGATAATTAAATTAAGACGGAATTGTTACAAACTATTTGTTGCACACAGTTGAATGGTTTACATGATTTTTTCACTATTTTTTAATTTATTTACAATAGAAAACGAGTCAATATGTCATTAGAAAATATGTCAGGTTACGTTTGAAGTTATTAGCGAATGTTTGTAATGCAATAATGAATATAATCATACAAACTTTAGTTTAAAATTTGATTTGATGTTTAAAACAATCGCAGTTGGATAAATTTGAACTTTTCCATTGATTAAGTCTCTGCTTAAATAAATACTTCAATTAGCTCAAGTCAAGTTGGTAATGAATTTGAATGTTTGACAGACGTCAAACCTCAATTCGTATGATTCTCATCCATTCGTATCCCAGAATTGGTTTCACTTAATTTTGAGAGTTATAGAGGGTTATTTGGGACAAATTAAGAGTTTTTTTTTACAATGGCAACGGTAACAGTAACGAAAAATGAAAACATTAAGAATAAAACAAAGGAGTTTCAAAAGGCTGTGATTGACAAAGATCTTGATGTAGTTCTGAAGAATGTGAAGAAGATAGATAACACATGTTCATTTACAAAGTGCAAGACGCGAACCAGTGACTTTGCAATCACATGCAAATATTGTAGTGGAAGATTTTGTACTACTCATGGTTTACCAGAAATCCATGGATGTGGTGATGCTGTGAGGAAGGATGAAAAACAAAAGTTTCTTCATCCAGGTATAAAACTGAGCCAAGAAAAGCACTCCCAGGCTTCAACTAAGCTAACAATGAAACTGAAGCAAATGGAACTTGAAAGAAAAGCCAAGCCATCAAAATCAAAAAAGAAGTAGTCTTAAGTTATATATTTATTTATTAAAAAGAAACACAATAAGAAAAAGATAATAAATTTACATAGCATAAGTATTTTTACTAGATTGTTCATCATCCTGCAACCCAGCAACTTTCTTCACATATTGAGGATTAACTTGAATTTCCTCATCCATAGCCAAAATTTGGCGATCCAGTTCCATGCATGAAATCAGCTGAGCCTCAAGCTTCATGTACTTCTTATACTTTTCAGGCTCATCCCTGAAAACAACCATTCCATCTTTCTGATTTATAGTTGCATATATCTGTCCATCTTCTATCATATGTAAGATAATAATCTCAGCATCACTTGGGCTTTCCAAACCAACACGACTAGCCACATCCCCAAGGCTCAATGTTAAGAAAGTTTTTGTTAACCTCTGGATATTCTTTTTATGCATCATTGCAACCACTTGATTTACAAGTCCCATATTACGATCCCTTGTATATACTTCTGCGTTTTTGGCAACAACTGCACTTAATTCTACACTTTTATTAGATGCATAGGCATTAGCCAAATCATGGTATGGCTGCGATATAGGTTTAATGAATCTTGTAACAACTTGTGCTGTGTATTTTGGAATCATTTGAACTTTCCCATAGGAAAGTAGAGATACCAGAATATATTTTCTGTATGCTTCCATCATGATATGAGAAACTGCTAATGCAGGTGTTGTGATACATACTTCAAAGAAGTATAGAGCCCTCTCCAAATTTCTAACAGCTAAATATATCATGCCACCATAGTAGTAGTAGAGTAGGTAATATTTTGCATCAAATGGGCCATTTTGAGTGTTCTCCTGACACATACCAGTGATATCAATATCAAGAACTTTCAATGTCTCCTTAAAGCATTTTGCTACCAAACTCAATTGGCAAAAATCTGCATGAATTGATGTAAGTTGAGTGTCATAATATTGCAGTTTACTAATAGCTTTTTTCAAAAGCATAATGCCCCGGATGGCTTGCTTTTGTTCCAGTAAGTACAGTGTGATTGAATGACATAATTCAGCAACTGAAATATAATATAAATAATTTTTTTTAAATAATCATTAATAACATTATCTAATTAATTACACATATCTGGGGCCAGTCTGATGTGTTCTCCATTGCATCCTAAAATAAATTCTTGAGCTTGAGCATATCTGTTGCTTTGTGCAGCGGCAGCTGGCACATTAAATTTTGCACATAATATTGCAAGTATTGCTAAGGAGTGCTGTTGGATATCAAGTGTTTCTAAGACATTGTCCAAATGTGTAGCATTCTTCAGAAGCAATTCACTTGATTTGTTCAAGTAATCGCAAAGATCTCTATAACTTCCTATAAAATAATTAACAATAATACGAAATTCTCATTATTTTTTTTTGCAATCTTTACCCTCTGCAGACGAGTTCCTCACCGTGTTTACAAACAGTTCCAAGGCTGAGGCCATTTCAACAGTATTAATAATTTAGGTTTCGGTTTCAGCAGTCAAATCAAAAACATTTATCTGACAATTGAAGTGATCTTAATCTTCTACCCACTGCTACCACTACAAATTATCATGACTTAAACCATTGCCAACTGAAATGTACCGCAGCGGCTCTGTCACGTATGTTTTGGTGTTGTTACATATATAAAATATAACTAAATAAAATATTCATATATTTGTAAATAAATACACAAAAATACTATATAACTACATATGTATTGTATAATGTGTCATACAATTTAAAAAACAACATTAATTAATTAGAACAAATATATCGTTAAATTTATCACATCTCAAGCATTGTATGTATACTTCCTTATTCATGCTCCATATTTTCTTGGTTTTGGGAAGTAAAATGCATCTCTTCAATGCCACTATTTTGGCTAATGTGCTGCTTCAATAAATTGAATATTTTATCTTTTAAAGCAGAATCATCTCTAACATTATTATGAAATCTCATAATTGTCCCTAATGATGGTAAAGTAAAAAAATGGGATAAGTATTTATAGCATGCTCTGCTTTGGTTAAAAATGCCATAAGCAAACACTTTATCTTCAAATGTATAATATTCTCCTTTGCTTTTCCTTCCAATATTGCACAACTGACTTTTAAAGAAATTTTGAACATAACTGTCTAATTTTTTAAAATTTCCAAATTCTTTCATTTCTCTTTTGTGTTTTTCTTTCAATTTCTCTAAATAAAGGAGTCGTCTTTGCATTTGTCTTCTGTTCATTTTATTACGCTGATTTCCGTGTTTATTTTTATTAATCTGTTCCACACTGGTTATATGGGAATTCATTGTATCAACTTCCATATCTTCAGCCTCTGCTTCTAGTGTTTGACTGTATGACTGATAAAAATTAGCAAGTTTATTACTGTCATCAACAATATTCATTTTTTCATCCTTTACTCCCTCTGTTTTCCTGTATGACTGATCCAAATTAACAACGTTCTTGCCATTATTATTGACAATAATATTATTTTTTGCTTCTCCTGTTTTCAAATGTGACTGATGCAAATAAACAACTTTCTTGCCAACAATTATATCATTATTGACTATTTTTTTTCTTTCTTTCTTTACTTCTCCTGTTTTCAAATGTGACTGATGCAAATAAACAACTTTCTTGCCAACAATTATATCATTATTGACAATTTTTTTTCTTTCTTTCTTTACTTCTCCTGTTTTCAAATGTGACTGATGCAAATAAACAACTTTCTTGCCAACAATTATATCATTATTGACAATTTTTTTTCTTTCTTTCTTTACTTCTCCTGTTTTCAAATGTGACTGATGCAAATAAACAACTTTCTTGCCAAAATTATATCATTATTGACAATTTTTTTTCTTTCTTTCTTTACTTCTCCTGTTTTAAAATATGACTTATCCAAATAAACAATTTTCTTGCCACTAATTCTATTATTATTGACAACAATATTCTTTTTATCATTTTGTACTCCTGTTTTACCATATGACTGATCCAAATTAACAACTTTGTTGTTAGTAATTCTAGTAATATTGACAACATTATTATTTTTTTCATTCATTACTTCTACTGTTTTGCTGTGTGACTGATCCAAATTAACAACTTTGTTGTCAGTAATTCTATTGCTATTGTCAACAATATTCATTTCTTCATTCTTCAGTTCTAGTTTTAAATTAGCAAGTTTGTTGTCAGTAATTCCAATACTATTGACAACAATATTCTTCTTTTCATTAATTACTTCTATTGTTTTACTGTATGGTTGATCCAAATTAACAAGCTTGTTGTTAGTAATTCCATTAATATTGTCAATAATATTAATTTCGTCATTCTTTACTTCCAGTTTAAAATTATCAAGTTTGTTACCAGTAATTCCAGTACTATTGACAATATTCATTTCTTTAACATCTGCTTCTACTGTCCTACAGTAGGAGTGATCCAAATTAACAAGTTTATTGTCAATAAGTTTATTACTGTCATCACTCATTTTTTCCAATACTTCTGCTGTTCTGCAGTGTGTCCGATTAATGACAGTATTACGTGTCAACTTTGGAAAATCATACTTTAAGAAATAGGGTCTCCTTCTATAGTTGTCAGCAAAATGTATATTACATACCTTCTTTCTATTTCTTATATACCTATTGTCCATGTTTTTTAGTGAATCATTCAATGTAGCTTCTTTCCATTGCTCAAACAATGGAGAATCAATTGGAGGAAATTTCCTTAATACTATATCTTCGCCGTCTCTTGTTGTACATCCTCGGACGCAACAATTATAAACCATCCTAATACATAACGTACATTAATTTAATTGAATATATATATATATATGAAGAAATATTACTTACTTGCTTGTATATATTCAATTCATGTTAAGAACAGTCTCTTCCCATACGTTCAATATCGCAATAATACAAAAGATTTGAAGCGCCACAATACCATAAGTTTTATTATGGTATAATAAATATTTGAAAAAACTTCAGAATCGTTTGTAGTTCTTCGTCTCTGCCAGCCATATGCAGCAATATGGTGTAGGATAATACCAACTGTTAGAAATGTCTAAAACAGACAGTCGCAATCGGTTATAACATATATACAGTGTGATTCTAAATATGTGTATATTTTGAAGTGAAACCTTGTTATAGTTCGGACTATATAAATATATACAAATTAAGGTCGAAAATTCCATGTTTTAATTCTCGTATATCATACGAGACGAATACCTGTAATCCTGAGATCCAAAGTTCCATTGTATTTATCATAATTTGCATCAATAAACAAAATGCTCTAACGCGGTGTTTCTCAAATTTTTTGGTCCGCCTTTTGTACTTAAAAATTTTAAATGACCCCCTCAAAGAATGGGTATGTATAGAAAAACATACCGTCCCGCCTGACATCAATTTTTCTGTGACCCCTACTTTGAGAATCACTGCTCTAACGCAATAGGAATTACAAGTGGCGAGTTTACAGGAAAATTACAATTAATAGCGAAAAACAGATTTTAAACGAATGTCATTGATCTCACTTTATTAAAATAAATTAATAACAAATATAATTTAGAAATATTAATAACTAAAATCACACTAAACTCAATAACAAATCCAATATTTTTTCAATTTGAAAATTTTCTTAGGCCAAGGAATTGAGTATTATTTTCTTATTAAATCAACTAAGTCCACTTGATTATAACATAGAAAATTGTTCCTTTGCACTCCAGCTTCATTTTTTTTGCCTATAGAGCGGTTTTTGGTCATGGTAGAGTACATTCAATTCAGTCATATTATAAGGGAGTTTTGAAGGCACTAAATAGCCACCTTCTCTCAATATTTGCACCGATACCAATAACTTCTTGACTGAAAACACTGGGGAATCGCGACATAAGCAATTCCAAATCCGATGGTCTTACATTTACCTCTAATTTACTAACATATGACCAAATGTAATCTAGCCCCGCTCCGAATGGATGGACATTTAAGAAAGCTGATATTATTCCGACTAATCGAGCATCCTTGTCGGTAAATACTTCTTGCTCTTGAAGTGGTGAATTATTTCGGCCCTCACTAGATAACGAATCAGTCTTATCAGACTCCAAATCGTCCAAATTGATCGTCGTTGTATTCTTCTCTAAGGTTTGTTTTAATTTCAGTTGAAGCTCTTTAACTCTGTTCTCTTCTTCAGTTTGTTTCTTCTTAGCTTCTAGTAGCTGCTGTTGCATACCATGCAATGTCTGTTGCAGCATCTTAAATTGCTTTTCTTTGTCATCCAGCTCTTTGCGCAAGTCCATCTTAATAACGTCAACCTGGAAATTAAATATAACACTACTATATAGTCTATTCATATCTGATTAAATGAACCTCGTTCTTGTATGCTTCCATTTGACACCTTAAGTTAGTATTCTCATCCTTCAATTGATTATTTTCGTCACCTACAACGTCCATGCGGGTTTTTTTCCTCGGCATCGGGTTCTCCTCATCGGACAAGTCCATCTCGTCGTCGCCTCTCTCAACAAAGCTATCACCATCGATTTGCACGTTTTTAATCTCCTACAAAATATAAACCATGAGTTTGAACTATTAACATTGACAAGTTATTTGAATAAAACAAAAATCACAAATTCCAAAAACAAAGAGAAAACATAAAATTAATGTCTTTCTGAACATCATATGGATGCGTTGAAAACGATGAATTCCTTTCTTTAAATTTCATTTATGTAATTTATTTTTACCAGGACGGTCAATAAATCGTCGCTTCTCATTGGGGAGAACCGTGCACAATCGAATGGTGGCTATACCCAGAATTAGATCCAGTCCTGTTCTATCTTTTCAAAGACTTACCTTTGCGAGCGCCAAATTTACAGAAAGCCTTACCTCTCCCGAAACAAAAAAGAAAACGGCAAATGCTCTGCGACATTTCACCAAGAAAGTAGAAATAATAATAAATTTAGGTAATTTGTGCCATTAACAAAATAGATAAATAAGTACGTTGTTCAAAAAAAATAAAAATAAACAGAGAAAACCAAAATGCATAAAATAATGTTGCAAACTACTTGTATGTATATAATAGAATACTTGAATAAAAAACAGTATCCCAAGTGTTCTATTGCAAAAACGTTATCTCTTAAGTTACTTAGTAGTTAATAGTCGGATCAAACTACAAACCAATTCGTAATATTGGATATGAGATGTGCTGCGGTTTCGTTTCGGTTCCGTTTGTGGTTTGATTCCGAGCTGTCTGGGTTTTATATGTTATGTACGTACCATTGATTGCTTTTTCCACAGCTCGATGTTCTTTCTCTGCGCCTTGGTGAAATGGTCCCAGACCTTCTTGTGACACGCAGCCATGAACAATCGCTCTATTTGACTGACTGTCACAGTCCACACATACGCAAATTAACCACTTAATAATAGTAGTAGAGTAGTAAAAACCAGTAGCAGATATTATTATTATATTTTCAGAACTCATAAATGAGAGAAGAAAACAAATAATATCACCTACTTTGTAAACTGATCTATTTACATAAGACTAGGAATACAGCCTATATATATTCAACTGTATTGCATGTCTTAAATAAAAGAGGACAAAATCATACTTAAATTACTTCATTTAAATACTTGAAAACCCCCCAACATTGCCTTATACAGAAATTGTAGCCATAACCATTTACAGAGTCAACCATACAAAATGACACACATATGCTGTCCCACATGAAATGCAATGTATGGTGAAAGACCTACCTTCTACCTCAAAAGATTTGCTAAATGATAATTAAATTTATTTGGCCAGACAGCAGATGTGTGATTATGTCTCTGAACTAAAGCCGACACCAAAACAATAATAATTAAAAGGAAATAGAAATAATAATAAAATAATACTTCACTGTCCCCATGATATAAATGCCGCGTTTTCTCTCGATACTTACTAACGTTTACTTTGTTTTGATCAGTTCCGTTTTAAATATGAGTATTTATGCAATATTATCTAGTACTTACATTGAAGCAGAATACCCTGCATTCGGCCTTTCATGATCTCTTTTGCCTTCTGCAGTTCCTCCTCGTACTGGACCTTTTCGTTCATGAGACGACGAACATGTGAGTTTGTTGATTGGATCATGGAATAGAAGTTATTCGCGTTACGCTTACTGCAATCGCCTCTCTCCAGCCACGTAATAACAATCTTCAATAAATTTAATTAAATTTACAAATAACATTATTAATTTATGTGCATACCTGCACTGCTTTTGTAAAAGTATCATCTTGCTTGATTTTCTCTGAGACAGCAGATGCCTCATGATCAGTATAATGGACTACTGGTGGAGGTGAAGGTGGTCTCAACCTCTCCTCTTCCATTCTCTCCCTATGCCTCTGTTCCCTTTGCAATTGTCTTTGCCTACATTCCCATTCATATTGATCATCTCTTGCCTAATAAAATATGAATTTTACTTTATATTTGTAAATATTTTTCATTACAATCCAACCTGCGCATAATCAACGTGTAATCTACCGGTATTTGGAGGATCGGTGTTTGATCCAATTCTAATCCTATAGCCGGACAAAAATATGGCAGCATCTACCGACGCTTCATAGACGAATCTTATGTGACAGAAATTTTTCTTACTCAATCTTAGAGTAGTAACCTCTCCGCAACGCTCAAAAACCTCCATTATAATCTCCTCGGTCATATTTTCTGGTAAACCACCAACGAAAACGGTTCTGCAACCTGGAGGTCGTTCTCTGGTGGTAGGGGGTGGAGCGTTCGGATTGGGTGGAAACATGGTGCATGATTTGCAGTGAATTATCTCTTTAACAGGTGGATTTATCATCAAGTTTGGATCAGCATTATTTGGTGGGGTTATTAGGTTATCAGAAGCTGTAGCAGCAGCTGCCATCATTGGTGGCATCATACCAAAATTATTCATCGACATAACATTGGGATCCATTATCATATTCATGCCCACCATTGGATAACTCATGCTCATCATGCCAGCCCACATGTTTGGAGCCATGGACGGAGGAGGAGGTGCAGATGTTGTATTGGTCTGCAGTGTAATAACATCAGAAGAGTTTGACAGATTAGAATCTTCATCTCTTGATTTGAAATCTCTGTCTCTGGGTTTATTATTCCTCCTATCCCTCTTTTCTGTAGAAGGATCACCAGAATCATCTTTCTCATCTACCCGAGCTGTTCCATTCTTAGGCCTATTCATGTCCAAAGGCTTATCATTGAGTCCATTCAGAATAGAAACATCAGGAAAATTGTCCGTCATTAATGTGGCTAAGAAGGTTGTTGGTGGTCCTTTAAAATTATAATTACAAGATATACATGCTTGACCCACTTGATAAATGACTGACTGCAATGTTGCAAAATATAGTTCCTTACCTATGGTATTTGGTTGATTAAACTGAAAAGCCATTTACACGCATTAACTCAACAAAATGCACGAATCCACTTTTATTACAAAATTTGTAAACAAATAAACTGATTTGACATAAATCAAACAATTACCCTATTCTCCAATATTAGCGTAACAGGATTACCAACAGCTACTGGCTTTATCAAGAAATATTAAATACATTATGATATATAATTAAGAAGAAAAACTATTTTCTTTGTGTAATTAACTAAAGTTACAACGATATTGTTTTAAATAAAAGTTGTTAAAGACAATTTAAGATTTAATTATAAAAAGCAGTTCTGCCAATTGCAAACGTTATACAGACATAATATATACAGAGTGATTTATCAAATTACTTAACATATATTGTGAAAATATTAGTTGCAACTGAAAACTATAGTTTTTAATTCTGGTGATATAATTTAATATCAGTTAATGGCATATGTCCATAAGTCCAAAAAATTTGCAATTTATGATATGTTCATTTTGATATTTTAGGAATAAATTGGAAGGCCTTGATAAATAGAAAAATAGACGAGTATTTATTATAAAATGATATTAGTCACGTCCCTTTTGCAAATAACTAAAGTGAAATTATTGGGCAGAGTAAGATATATGAAGTCAGTCATAGAATTACTTGCAGCCAACGTATATTAAGTTAAATGTATGTGTTGTTGGGTAAACTAATTTGTTTAAATCCACTGACGTTTTGATGTGTAATAAAATTAAACGTGTGATTCAAACAGTTGATGTTTAATTTGGGTGTGCACTCGAAAGTTTAAGAGCTACATCTTTCCCGGGTGCGTAAACGTAACATATTCATTCAACATAATGTATAGTTTATTTTAATTTCCAATTTATATTAACTTTCACAGATGGATTCGCAATCTGTCCCTGTCATTAGTAAAGCACGGGTGTACGCGGATGTGCTTGCAGACCGTGGTCCAGAGTTTTGGAATTACGAAAACTTCAACCCAGAATGGCACGATGCTGACGATTACGAAATTATTCAGAAAGTTGGCCGCGGCAAATATAGCGAGGTGTTCGAGGCACTTCAAACTTCTTCTGACCAACGGGTCATTATCAAGATTTTGAAACCAGTGAAGATGAGGAAAATCAAGCGGGAGATCAAGATATTGCAAGAACTTCGGGGCGGAGTCAATATTATACGACTGTTAGGTGTTATCAACATCAATATGAATAACACTGCACTTATATTTGAGCAGGTGAAGCAAGCGGATTTCAAACATCTGTACTTCAATTTGTCTGAGTTCGATACGAGATATTACCTGTACGAATTGCTTAAAGCTCTAAACTATTGTCACAGCAAGGGCATCATGCATCGCGACGTTAAGCCACACAACATAATGGTGGATAATAGCATGAGGCGTTTGCGACTTATCGATTGGGGTTTGGCCGAGTTTTACCGACCAGGTCAAGAGTTTAATGTCAGGGTTGCTAGTCGTTATTTTAAGGGGCCCGAGCTGCTCGTCGAGTATGGCTACTACGATTACTCGCTGGACATGTGGTCCTTGGGTTGCATGTTTGCTTCGATGATATTCCGCAAAGAGCCCTTCTTCAGCGGCAGCGATAATTACGATCAGCTGGTGCGCATTGTTAGAGTTTTGGGTAGCCAGGGCCTCGACAACTATTTGACCAAATACAACATTCATCTGAATCCGCAGTTTAAGGAGAATTTGGGGCACCACAGCAAAAAGAAGTGGGATAGATTCATCAAAACCGAGAACGAGTATTTGATAAATGATGAGGCTTTGGATTTCCTGGATAAGTTGCTAAGATATGACCATATGGAGCGAATCACGGCTAGAGAAGCTCTGGAGCATCCTTATTTCTCACCGGTGATCCGTGCCGCCACTCACAAAAACCCAATTATTGATAGTGGATCTTCGGATACACCGTAATTATCCTGCAAGCCTTACCTTTTTCAACACATGGTACAAATTTCATGTTAGATTATATTATTTACGTGTTATTATCATATTTTTGTATGTGCATATTTAAGGTATCTTTAACTACATAAACTAATCACTGGCTATTTGTCTGTCTCTTTATATATTAACATAAAAATAGACTTTGTATATATTTACAATAAACTCTTTGATCCATTTCACATTAAACATAAACAAAACAGAGGAGATTCAAATAGGTGTCAAACAGTGTGTCAAATCTAAATGTACTTGATAAAGTTGTTATTAACACTTAATTCAATGTAAATATAATATACAAGAATAATTTTGTTGTTGCAGTAGTAAAGACTTTACAAACACTTTGCTATAGTAATTTGTTTTCACTTTCAAAAAAATACACATTTTATCAAAATTAAAAAAAAACAACAACTAAAAACTAACGAAAGAAGCTTACCAATTAGCAAATATTTAATACATTTTCGTCAACGTCAACCTTCCAATTAATTGTTATTAACATAATATAATCAATCTTCTTTATAAATCTTTCTTTAAAGGCACTTATAGACTTTTGTTTCTTTTTATTTTGGCAGAGAATACGTTAAGTTTACTTCGATATATTTCATTTAATAAATAAAAAATAGGATAAAAGTTATAAAACTTTAACTTATTTCTCTTTGTATTATTTTCCGCGCTCATCATCATCCTCGTTTCATATACATTAATATGTATAATATATACATTTATCTTAAGGTAGAATTAAAAATAAAACTGTTTCTTTGCTGTTGTTGCACTTTTCCTCATCATCGTCGTATCACAAATAAAAAGAAAGGTTCTGGATCCTTTATGCTCTTGCTATGGCGCATTACTAACTATCACGACTTTTTGTCTGGAAGCGACGCGGCCAAGGGAAGGGCCAGTCCGGCCATTGTCTAGGAACTTGGCCTCCTACGTTCCCCTCGAAGTACAGGAAACAATTAAACCACCACATCCGAGCCAGTAGGTTCTTCTCGGAGTGTTGCTGCAAATTATAATATTGTAAATATTAACACACATATATTTATTAATAATCCATAAATAAGTATAGAATCTGAGAAACCTATATATCGAGCCGCAAAACCTAAATATGTTTCAAAATATCAGCTATTGTTAAATCTTGACCTTTAAACTAATAGTTGTCTCTAGCAATAAATTAAGCCAATATTTATAAATTTTGAAATTTTATATATTTAATTCTAAAAAGTAGCTGATTCTCTAGATTCATAATATTATTAGTTATATATTATGAATCTAGAGAATAATCAACTACTTTGTAGAATTAAATATATGAAATCAGTTAAATTAAAAATGTATTAAACTTGTATTGGATGCAATTATAGGTTTTAATTATTTAAAATTATAATAATTAGTAGGTTTTTATATCAATGACTTATGGGATTCTATAGAAATCTACCTTTAGGGTAACGTTGTTGGCCATGGTGTGGAATATCCAGAAGATCCTCGTCGTGACGTAATAAGCAAGGATGACGTCGATGGTGTAATGAGAACGGGAGAGCTGGAGCATGAATACTCCCACAACGGCGATCAGCCAATAAAGCCAATGCACTGGGTAGAGTTTTTTCGGTGTATCTATAACATTACGGAATGACATTATGTTTGGCCATTTGAGTATCACTTGTTGCAGAGCTCACATTCAGCGATGAAGAGGTAACTGATTACGAGAGTTAGCGTGTGTCCGCTGTATATGAAGTCACCACAATAGGTCTGTTTGCCGTTTATGCTCAGTCCCATCCCCGAAAGCATGTCGAGAACTCGCTTGGCCATTTCTAAAGTGGACGTGTTATTGTTCTTCGGCGAACAATAGTACGTGGTACTGGATATTGGGAGGACTGTGACGAACATCGTGAGCGCTCGATACATGTATAACAGCGACATAATAAGGAATAATCGTCGCGCCAGTATAAACCTGCATCGTAATTAAGTAAAATAATTAGACCGTGCGAGATACACAGGATTGATTTAATAAATTACCTGTGTTTGTGTAGAATGATGACTACGATCATGGAATTGAAGGCGACGATAATGAGGTATTCGGAGACTGTCAAACCCCAGTCGTGGGCACCGAGTATATCGTAGAAGATATCCGGTAATGGTCCATAGGTTTTCCTGTCGGGCACTCTCTCGTGCACCGTGGCCAATGAAATTAACACTAAAAGGCTACTGAAGAAAAATATTACTAATGCTGAAACATAAATGGGGACGGTTAGAGTTATCAGAAATCGGTTTCGAAATTAGTATTCACCAACCAACTAACATTTTCCACCGCTCCTGGGGAAACTTAGGCTCTTCTCTGACCGGCGGTGGGATGTTGATTTTGATAATGCCGTTCGGCTCTTGTGATTTCCGAAGAATATTCTGGTCGTCATCGTCGTCGTCGATGTAGTACCCATCCGATGCAGGTGGATGACTGGCGTGGCCCCATTTATCACCTTGCAGCAGAGGCTGTCTCTGATAGAGATCCACTTGCGTCATGTTGACGATGGTATTATGCGCCGCAACCGCAATCGTTCCCGAGGTGTCCTCTAGGCTGTCGTTGCCTCCTTTCGCTGGCGGTAACGGCAAAACAGTACTCAAACTGTCTCTTCCAATTGGGGCGGAGTCTGGGACAGCCTCACCGATTGATTGGATACTCCCATAATCCGCAAACTTTGGCTCCAAAACCATTCTTCAAAATAAAACAAAACACCAATTCTAAGCAAATTACAACAAATTTTCAATTATAAACTATAATACAACAAACAAATGAAGGTGCGCATCGACTTATATGCACCACTCTTAACGCGATTGCTTACACTTGTCTCGAATTACTAATCTACGGTCAATTATGGCCAATTAGCGTAGCGTGCTTATGGTCTATATGCAGTAGATGCTAAAATTAAGATTGAAGTGCGAATTATAATCAGACGGGCATCGAGAAGCAGACGTCTGCCAAGAAAATGCAGATGCTTTATATTTAGGTTTTTCCGTCGGAACGCTGATTTCTTTATACTACCGAGTGTTGTATCTTTTTCTTTTTATTATGTCTCAAGCGACATCTATTTTGTTCCAAGTTGCTATGAGAAACAACAACGAGTTTAACTTGTTTTCCGCAAAACTCGAAAGTGTTATGTTGCATGGAAAGTTGGCAGCCGCCGCTCAACATCTTAGTTTAAATATACATTATTATGCACTTCATATCCATATCTTCATATATATTTATTTATTTTTTAGATACTTTTCTATTTACACTAACGTAAAGTGATTTACAAGTATATTATATTTTATTTATATCTTTATTTTTAATTTAGACAATATACCTTGTGCTTTTAGTAGCTCCAAGTACTACATTATTAAAGTTTCTAATTAAAGAGCCTGCATTATCTACTCATAACTAGTCTATACATACAAAATAATTTTTGTGTTTAAATTAACTTTCAATTTATCAATAAATTCCAGAGAACTGAAAACTTGATTATACCTACGTCGTGTATAATGTCCTTTTAGTTCTAACGTCAAAATGATGTCAAATCGTACTTCTAGTCACATTGTCAAAACGTCACATAAATCCTGGTACATCGATTTTGAGGTTGACAAATCAACTATGCAATTCACACAACTGATTTTCATTTTACCTCCTATCGTAATCCTGTTGTTATTGCAATTATAATTAGTTTAAATTAAGATAAATACAAATAAAGAATGTTTAAATATTGTATATAGCTTCATCATGAAAGCACGTTCAGTTTATTTTTGATACGACAAAACTTTTAAAATATTATAAATGGATGTGATGTATCTAACAGAAATTCAAAGATCGTAATTACCATGGCAGTGTATAAACATGTTTTCCATATTCATTTCACTACTTTAAACGTCGTTGCAACATATCCTATGTCGTATTGCACTTGCGCATCCAAACACTAAACATTATGTCCACAGATGATCGTATTCTTGGACACACCTTCTGTTTGTTTAATTCCATTTTCATTATGTTCCTTGCGACTTACGTAACAGCTGCGAGGAAATCCTGCAATTGTATTATTTACCGTTCAATTAAGTGCGGACATTGCAAGTATTGAATAGCGTTACGTTGCAATTATGGATTATGAAAATGATAGAAAATAACGAATACGCGAACGGTTCATGTAACGGGAATACCTTTCCTGCGATTCCCGACTAATTCCTAATTAGTCTAATTGTACTCGTTTGAATCTACATATTAATTTTGCTAATTTCAATTAGTTGCTATTTCTAATTATATACTACTCACTTCCAAATTGATATGATTTCTATTCATAAATTATATACAAAAATAAATTGAATAAATATTTTGTTTATATAGAAAATTTGCGTCTAAATTTATAACCGATAAATTTACAAATCGCAGACAAATATGTAAATGAGGAAATAAGTAAATAAATATTATAAAAATATCTAAGTTAAACAGCAAAAAATAGTTACATTTACCAATGTAAACTTCTTTTAATAGAAATAAGATGTAAGGTAATTTATATGTTATATACAAAAAAAGTACATTAGCATCTTCAATATTCCATTTTCAATACGAAAATAGAGTTTGTCTGGAATTTATATCTATAAAATACATAGAACGGTGTATAAGATACTGTATTCGGTAATTCCGAGATATATACAAAGACCACTATACTCATGAGCTGTCGTACATGGCCCATAGCCAAAGGTATCAAGTGACCAAACAACTTAGCTGCGCTCTGAATCATAATAGAATGCTTATTGCTATTTTCAATTATAAACTCAGAGAGGTAATTACAGCATACAATAACGTTGTATTCTATTAAACTTACATGCTTGTAATTTTCAGAATCGATTTAAGAAGGTCCAAAAAACTGCTGTACCAAAAGTGGCAATAGTAACTTAACGATTTCATCATAAATTCACTATTCGCACAGCAAAGAGAATATAACAATTACATGTATTTTATTTTGTTAAGTATGTTTTATGTTTCCAAAGTTCCAACCAACAGTATCTAAATACGAAATATTATCGTAAACGTATATGCCCCGACTACATAACTAAAAATAAACTTGAACGATATATTTTGTTTGCATGACTTTCGTTTTCGTGAAATTGCAACAATTCTTTAGAAACCTTACAGGGAAACCTCAATTTACATAATATACATTTATTTACAGTTATTATCACTATTTATAATAAAAATTTAAATTGTTATAAAGTACATAATTAATATATTTTAATTTATTATTTACAACCAGAAAAAAATATTCATAATTAGTTTTAATTTTAAACTGCAGGTTGCGATGCTTCAATGGGTCATTAGATTAATTTAAATTGATTACCAGCATGTATTTAAATTGTTATAATTGTCCTTGTGACATAAATAATAATTTACTTTACTGTTTAAAGATTTCTATTTGTTAAGTTAATTCTGGTATTATATTTTATACTGCAGTCGTTCTTTAACATTGAATGAACTTGAGATAACATTTTTAAATTTTACCATAAAAAAAGCTTGATTAAACAGCCGTAAAATTACTTGTTCATGTTGTTTGGAATTAAAATTTTAAAAATAATATTTAAAATGCATTTGTACTCTAGTCATTATTCCAGTCTATTAGTTTCATAATTTCTAATTGGTTGTTGCAATTAGAATAAGTCATTCTATTTTAGACAATTATTTATTTATTTGAGTCAATGCGATGTCTTTCCACCAATAGACAAATAATTAATGAAAATATCCATATACAATTCCCTACAAAAAATAATAAAATAAAAAACCACATTTGGATAACAGTTTTGTTGCGGCAATCGCGTTGAAATAGTTTCGTTTGCTTTGAATCCTTGAAACATAGCAATAAAAGTGGTTTTAATCGCACACAAGTTTATTGTTTACATTTTGTTCAACCGTACGGAAGCATAAAATAATCGGAACTGAAAACTAGTTTTCTCTCGGTATTTACATAATGGAATATGAATGAGGATTTTGATATGCACCAGGAGTCAACACTTACAAAAGTCATGATATGTATATCCCATGTGTTTGTAATTCACTGTAACAAGTCAGAACAGGTGATGATGATGGAGGTGTCGTTCACCGGATCAGACGTGACTACCTCAAACTGCGATGAATGCTTATGATTACGTTTATGTAAATATCCTAACTGAATGTAATTCAGAGTGAGTACGGAAAGACACTGCGCTGTAGTAACGTGACGACCGCTCTCAAGAGGCGAGCTCAATCAACTGAAATGAGTCGCGGGGGCCGAGATATTTTTATTACGATATTCTGTCTATATTATCATTTTTTTTCCGGATCCAGTATTCGGTGTATCAAGACACAGGAACGCGCGCACGGCACATGCATTGATGCAACTATACATGCATTTCCATGCAGTTGCATAACAGTCCTTGGTATAAATGGATATGTGCTGGCGCTTGGATGGAAGTCATAGTGAAAGCCAGATAGACATCCGTTGTTTTCGCCAATTGTCTGGCGAATGCATATTATTTAGAGGTAATAATATGCTATCGTGGCGAACTCGGTGATGTTTGGAAGCATTTTAACAATTTCCTCGCACTGGCATTTAAAAAATATCCAAACAATGTGTGCGAACAATAGCATAAGAACAAATAAGACGGAAAGGGAAAACAATACACCATTCATTTTGTTCCGACATTTGCTGATATAATAATCGAATGATTCAGTTACTATGTAAAGTCAAGCCATATTTGATAATTTGTGTCATAGTCAGTAACTGCATATTATCTCTTATAAAATGTTAATTTTGTTCCTTTCCCTATTTCATGCACATACATAAATTAATGTACTTTAGGTATAAACTAATATTAAAGCAATAGCTGAAAAGTTGAAACTTTTGAAACAAACTAAATTTTAATTGAACATAATCAATTCTAAAAAAATAGTACAGCAATTATTGTTTTATACACAAATGATTGATTTTTCTTTTATATAGTTTCTGTGTGTTGTTTATTTCATTTTATTTAGTTCCTCGATTAGTTCGGTTTCGTCCAGTACCGGATATTGGCGGAAACGATTACCCGCACTATGCAAAGTACAATATTTTACTAACTGGGAAATATTTGCATTGAAACCGTAATATAAATGTAAATTATCGTGATTAATTATTTAAATAATATTTATTTTAATAAATATTTTTAAAAGATATTTAATATTTTTTGAAAATATCGAAATTGTTTATATTGACATTATTTAAAATAAATTAGAAGCAGTTGTTGTCTATTTAGATAACAAAGCATAATATTAAATTGGACGTAAGTCAATGTGTCGTGTCCCAGGGATGGAATTCTGGACACAGTGGAATATTGTCTGGTGTTGTCGTTG